TAATTACATTAAAAAGATTTATTTATTTACACTAAATGTAAATAGATTAATTTCATCAATTGGTTTTTAAAAATTATGGTCAAGAATAAATTGACCATAATAGCAGGATAAAATAAAAGGAAACAGAAGGACTAAAAATAAAAAGATGAGAGTGGCATTGTGGTGTAGCAAGCTAAGCCACCACTTGCAATGCTAGCTTCCTATATCAGAATGTGGGTTCAAGTCCCAGCTGTTCCACTTCCAATCTAGGTCCCTGCTAATGTACCTGGGAAGGCAATAGGAGATGGTACAAGTACTTGGACCCCTGCCATCCATTTGGGAGACCCAAATGGAGTTCCTGGCTCCTGGCTTCAGCCTGGCCCAGCCCTGGCTGTTGCAGACATTTGGGAAGTAAACCAGCAAATGGAAGATCTCTTTCTCTCTGTTTCTCTCATTCTCTGCACCACTTTTCCTTTCAAATAAATGAAATAAATCTTGAAAAAAGATACATTGAGTAAATATGAATTATGTTGTGATCTTACTGTCTGTCTAAGAGAGAGAAGAAAATAAAAGTCATGATCTACTCATAGAATAAATTATAGGTAAACACACAGATAGAACAGGCAAAACATATACATGCATCTAATCATACAGTCCCAGAACACACCAACTCCTGGAGAAATAGAGAGACATATAATTATAGCTGAAGACTTTCCTCTCAGAAATTGATACATCAAGACTTGAGTAGTATAACTGCCATATTTTAACAGTTCTGCATCTTACTCAAGAGTAGACTCTAGGAATATTAATGATATAATAAATATGAAAATTAAAATTATAAAGAAATATTGGAGACGATTACAGTTTGTGAATGAAGAGAAGGGAAAAGCAAAACTGCAAAAGCATGAAATCTAAAATAAATATATCACTGAATATAACAACATGAACATTAAGGATTTCTAGTCGATAAAGGACACTGTGCACTAGGTAACTAGTTAAGAGAACGAGAGAAGGTATTTGAAATACCTAATTCTCAAAACTTTTGCAAATAAGATGACATGGCTATGGGCTGGATACAGTAGCAATGAAAGGTGACAGAATCTTCAACAGGTGGGGTTTAGTCAGAGGTGATTAGGTTATTGGAGGCACCACACGTTGAAGGGATTACTGCTAATCCAGTGTGAGTTCTGGGGAGACTGGGGTGTTAAAAGCAAGGCCACCCCACACACTTGGCCTTTTCCCTTTCTGCTTCTCTCTAGAGGCTGACTAGATGAGGCCACTTAATATTAGACTCAGCCTCCAAAACATGAACTAAATAAACTTCTTTTCTTTATAAGTTATCCAACTCAAGTGTTTTGTTATAGCAACAGAAAATGGATCAGCACAAACAGCAAGCTCTAGGGAAAAAAAATATTCAGGATAGGGACAGGAAATGCAAAAATCAAAAGACCTACTAAGAGATGCTCTAAAGCATCAAACAAATGCTGATTGAAACATGTGGATCCATTTGTTAAACTAAGAATTCTTGGCAATACCAGCTGGTGGGGTTGTGGGATGCTGGGACCCCCATGCCAGGTGGTGGGCTTATGGACCAGAATAGCCATTTGGAAGGCAATCTGACATGAAGTATGCAAATTAAGAACTCACATGCTCTATGAGCCCCACAATTCCATTCCTGGGGTATATCCTAAAGAAATTCTTATGCAGGTACGTATGGAGTTATGCATTAAATATTCATAACTTATGGTCGTAGGGACTTAGAAGCAAGTTCATGCTATCATGAGCAGAACAGACAGCTAAAATGTGGTAGATATGGTCCATTATAGGCAGCAATCAGAAGCAAGGGGTTAGAAGGATACACAGCAATGTGAATATGTTTTAAAAATATAGTGCTCAGTGAAAACTATGAAGAAACAATATGCCATTTACACAAATTAAAAATACACTCAGACAAAACAAAAATTCATATTTTGTAGGAACATATGCAAAGAAAAACATATATTAAATGGAACTCAGTTGTCCATGTGGGGGAGGAAAGGGAATAAAAAGAGGAAAATATGTGAAATTTAAAAGTGACACTATTACTGATCAGACATGGTGAAGTGCCATGTACTAAGGCATGTGATTAACTAAACCCTGTGCACCCAAGTCAAACTAATCAACAAATGACCATAAAACTGGAAGGAAATTCAATGAATAGTACACAGCTGTCTCTGGATTTTGGGATAATGAGAAATTTTTACCTTCTTTATAATACATATGAAGTACTTCAAAAAGCTCATGAAATTAAAAAGAAAAATTTATTTTGGTGCAAAAAGAACTTGAAATCCATTCTAGCTTGTCATAATATTAATTTTCTATGAACTTTTTGAAGATCCCACATATGCTGACTCCAAATGTTTTACACTGAGCATCTGTTAATTCCAAAAATTTAATATAGAACCAGAATTTTTTTTAAAAAAATCATCTGGAGGAAAATGGTTTGGTGGTAGGACAATAGTAGTCAAAGCATATCTCCTGCAAGAACACAGAAACATTTTCTAAGTCTGAATGCAGACTGAATGGAAGAATGCATTCATTTTTCCTTCGTAAAATTACCTTAACTTCTGAAATAATATTTGCACAACTGATCAAAATAAAATGCAAAAGGAAACATAAGACATGTGAGAGCAGCGGCTTTAAAAATATCCAAATGGAACCTTATTATCCAAAAATTCTGCATGAAAATCAGTACCTTTACCTGGTGATGCTGAACATTATGTGACGATTGGTAGAGCACACAGCTGACCCATCAGGGCAGACATGGGTAGTAAGCAATGCCCGTATCAGACTGGCATCCTCAAAATACAGTTGACCCCACACACTAGCCCTCCAATTCCAAGACAAAAACATGCCGTTTTTCACACAACAGACTTCCACCTTACAGATAGAAAGTCGAGTTTCCCAAACCAGAATCCACACGAGGCGCCAGCCCAGAGGAAGGGAGGGAGCAGTTTTGTTGCCCTTTCCTGACCCCACCACCCCACTTCCTGTCATCTGGGTGCTCTGCTCTCTGATTCTGAAATTGACCCACACATTACCTTCTCCATCAGACAGACTCTTAAGCATTTTTTTAAAAGATTTATTTTTTATTGAAAGTTACACAGAGACAGAGAGAGACAGAGAGATCTTCCATCTGTTGGTTCAGTCCCCAAATAGCCTCAATGGTCAGGGCTGGGCTAGGCTGAAGCCAAGAGCCAGGAGCTTCTTCCGGGTCTCCCACATAGGTGCTGGGGGCCAAGAACTTGGGCCATCTTCCACTGTTTGTCCCAGGCTATTAGCAGGGAGCTGTATAGGAAGTGGAGGAGCAGCTGAGTCCAAACCAGTGCCCATATGGGATGCTTGTGTCACAGGCAGCAGTTTTACCAACTATGCCACAACGCCAGCCCCAACTCTTAAGCATTTTTAAAGATCTGCCTCAGAGGTCATTATCTTCATGAATCTTCTTGAAACCACCGGCACAGTTTTGCTTACTCTTCTTTTTTTTTTTTTTTTTTTTAAGATTTATTTCTTTGAAAGGCAGAGGGGTTGCTGTAATGAAAAAAAAAAAAAAAAAGGAAGAAAGAAAGAGTTACAGAGAGGCAGATGCAGAGAGAGAGGTCTTCCATCTGCTGGTTCACTCCCCAAATGGCTCCAATGGTTGGAGTTACACCGATCCGCAGCCAGAAGCTTCTTCCAGGTCTCCCACGTGGGCACAGGGGCCCAAGCACTTGGGCCATCTTCCACTGCTTTCCCAGGCCATAGCAGAGAGCTGGATTGGAAGTGGAGCAGCTGGGACTCGAACCAGCAGCCATATGGGATGCCAGCACTGCAGGCGGCGGCCTTACCTACCCCACCACAGCACCAGCTCCTTTGCTTACTCTTTCAACTAATTTTTCCTGAGCACCTGCTATGTTCCAGCTTCACAGTTGTAGCCCCGTACTACTATTTACTGAACTGTATGATGCTGTATCCAGGTCTGTCTCTCTTGCTGTTGAATGTAATTAAAACTGATATACACTTCAAAAGCTATTTCTTCCATGAGAAATGTTGCCTACTATGTGTACTCAGGAGTATTCAGTACTCCCTCATCCAACAGCCTGGCGCAGTGGAAGGACCAGTCTTGAAACCAGACTGACTTGAGTTCAGATTCTGACCCCAGCCTTTACTCTTTGATGCTGAGCAAGTGACTTTTCTGCTCCGAACAGTTTGTACATCTGTAAAGTGAAGATAACAATGATATCTTCCACACTGTTTGCTATAATGATTAAATGGGCACAGTGTAGGAGCTCCACAAATTTATGGGAAAGTCCATTCTAATCTGTAAAGAACTACTGGAATGCACATGATAACGACATTGTGGGTGGGTGGTACAGAAAAGATAACTGTAACCCCGGCAGACAAGTAACGATTATTTAACCATGAGGGCACAAAGCAGCAGAGAAGCAGAACTTTCACAGAGCATTTTCCTGAAGTGGAAGGGGAAGGCTGATCTTGTTTTTAAGGGCTTGATAGATCTGCAAGGAGAAAACATGATTGGCCATGAGTACAGCCATCAGCACTGCTCAGGAACAGTAAGTGACACAGATAGCTCAAAATGAAAACCCCCGGTGTATTGGGAGAAACTGAAAGTGAGGATCAAGTTTATGCAGATGATATTTTACCAACATATTAATAAACACTAGGCTAAGGATAGTAGTTACAGCTACTATTTTTGACTGTTTATGTACACATGCTACAGCACTTTTTATACACATTGGCTCGTATAATATCTACAACAACCTCATGAAATAGAACTCATCAGTCCCTTTCCACTAAGGAAATAGAAGCCCCAAGAGGTGTCAAGACTTTCCCAAGATCATACAGAGCAAAGAAGGTGGGGTAGAAATACAAACCCAAAGTTCATTCAAAAAGAGCAAAATTAATTTGCATTCCAAAATTTGCCAACCTTGCAAACATTCCACCACCACCACCACCACCACCACCACCACCACCACCCCCCCCGAGTTACAGTTCATCCTTCTGGTCGACCAAAACTTCTTCATTTTTATGCAGAAATGCTCTTTCAGCTTCCCCTCCTGGCATCTGCCCATCATTTCCCGGTTCCTCTTCAGAATCCTCTTCATTTTCCTCTTCTTCAAGTCCCCAGATATCATCTTTCTTTTCCTCCTCCTTTTCCTTTTTCTGCCTGGCCTCTTCTTCCTGTTTTCTTTTTTCCATTTCTTCATGAAGTTCTCTCCATTGCTTCTCTATGTCCTGTTTAGAATGTGGAATTTCCAAATAATTCAGTGATAGCATAAAGAAAGTTAACCCACTTTAGAAATGTGTGGCCTCTTCCATCATAGATTTCTGGGATGCTGCTATATTTTCAGTAAGTGAGGAATGACAGAAATGTGTGTCTAATTTGCTTACAATAAACATTTATTGCATGCCTACTGTGTTCCTAAACACAGTGCCATACAATCTACACATATTATTGTATTCCTCACAGCCACGCATGGGTTAAGTGTTGCTCGTTTTACTTTCATGAAGGATGTGAGGTTTGGACTTCTTTATAGGTTTTTGAGGGTCTCTCCAAATTGCACATTTCTGTATTTCCAGTGACTACAACAGTGCTTTGAACAGGCACACAACAAATATTTGTCAAGCAAATATATTTAGTAATAATAGATATCATGTTATGGAACACATACCACATGCAGGAAATTAGAATTTAGTTTCTATCAGTATTCCCAATTTATAGATGAAGAGATATTAAATAACTTAGCCAAGTACACATAGCTCATAAAGAAGGGAACCTGGCACAGCAGGTTAAGCTGCTACCTGTGAGGCAGGAATCCCATATGAATGCTACTTGGAGTCCTGGCTGCTCGACTTTTTTAAAAAAATTAATTTATTTATTTGAAAGGCAAAGTTACAGAGAAGCTGAGGCAGAGAGAGAGAGAGAGAAGTTTTTCATTCCGTTGGTTCATTCCCCAAATGCCCATAACAGCCAGAACTGCGCTGATCCAAAGCCAGGAGCCAGGAGCTTCTTCCAGATCTTCTACATGGGTGCAAGGGCCCAAGGAATTGAACCATCTTCTACTGCTTTCCCAGGCCATAGCAGAGAGCTGGATTAGAAGTGAAACAACAGGGACTAAAACCGGCACCCATATGAGATGCCGGCACTGTAGGCCATGGCTCTACCTGCTATGCCACAGTGCTGGCTCCTGCTCTACTTCTGATTCAGCTCCCTGCTAATGTCCTGGGAAAGCAGCAGATGGACTGCATGTCTGGGCCCCTGCCACCCACGTGGGGGACCCAAATGGAGTTTCAGTCCCCTGGGTTCAGCCTAGCCCAGTCCCGGCCACTGCAGCCACTTAGGGAATGAACCAGTGGATGGAAGAAGATTCTCTCTCTCTCTCCCTCTCTCGCTCTCTCTCTCGCTCTCTCTTCCTCCCTCTCCCTAACTCGCTCTCTTCAACTTTGCCATTCAAATAAATAAATCTGTTAAAAAGAAAAAAAAAAAAAAAGAATGGAGCCCAAATTGGAAACTTAGCAGTCTAGCTCCCACTCATATTCATAACCAATATATATAATAGTGCCTCAACAAAACAATATTAGACAACAACTGCAGAGTAAAACAAAACAAAACCAGACTTAAAAGTGCTTTCAAATCTGACAATTTGCTTCCCAGTGCACAATGTCAATGCTATTTTAGAAACGTGTTGAAGTTCTCTCTAAAAGAACTTTTTTGATGCTTGTCCTTTGCTGGTTCTCTTACCATAGCTTATTTGCCTATTGGATCATCGAGCAGTAATCACAAACCTGCTTGAATGAACCTTCCTGCAGAACCAGGAGGTCTGGATGGATGGTGTCACCATCATGAGGCCACGCCCCGAGTATCACTCCACCCATGGAATGGTTCTGGGAGGTCAGGGAGCTGGCGGAAAGCACCATGGCCTTCCTTCTTCCTCCAAGCTATCCCTCAGAAGGGGGCTCGGTGGCTCCCCTCTAGGTCACCACCCTGTGAGCAGGCAATGTGCGACAAGAGCAACGTGAGTTCTGGGTTCAAATTCTAGCTCAACACCTAAAGGTTGTGTGTGACCCTGGGCAGTGCATGCTCTGAATCTGTTCCTGCCACAAGAAAACGGGAGAAATGACATCTGTCTTACTGAGTCGGCAAGTGCTCACAGAGAATCACAAGAGTGGAGTTGTAGATGTGAGTGAATGTGAATAATTTCTCCCTCCTCTCACGGCAACGAGACCAGAGGTGAGACAGTAAGTGCAAGGCTGATTTTTAAAATGAAATGACAGAGCACAGCTAGATGTCAGACATCTAGAATCCCAGGGAAGGGGAGCATCTTACTTTTCTCAGTCCCCAAGTGTTGTTTCCAACCTCTTCCGCAAACTCTTCATCATTTGTTAGAAGGAAATTGTCAAAGATGCTGCCTGATTTCACCTGTGAAAATGAAAACAACGAATGATCAGGGCCAGGCACTGAAACACAGAGGGGCTCAGAAATCACCAGGGAGCCCTGGCTGAACACACATTCCCAAGGCACAGGCCAGGGGTTTTAACCAGCAATGGGAGTTGAAGGAACAACTGACAACACAGGGGGCCTAGGATGTCCTCGCTGACTCACTCGGGAGAGAAGTCAAGTGACTGTTCCCTAAGGGTCTGTGCCCCTCCAGCCACTGAACGTTATTTAGAGTTTCATGATCAACTTTTATCATTCTGCCAGTCTCCAAATAGGTGTCCAGCAGGTGTTGCCCCAGCTCAGTCTGGCAGCACCTACCTGCGATGATGCTTCTGTATAGATGCCCTTTTAAGGGTTATTGCCTTAATATAATCAGAAAAACTAAAAGGACAAAGGAGAAAGAAAGGGTTTGGCCAGACATGTCAGGAAAAATGTGTATTCTCTACCATTTAGAGTGCCCTGTTTCTCTGTTTTTGTTTGTTTGTTTTTGTTTTTTTGTTTGTTTGTTTTGACAGGCAGAGTGGATAGTGAGAGAGAGAGATTGAGAGAAAGGTCTTCCTTTGCCATTGGTTCACCCTCCAATGGCCACCACGGCTGGCGCGCTGCGGCTGACGCACTGCGCTAATCTGAAGGCAGGAGCCAGGTGCTTCTCCTGGTCTCCCATGGGGTGCAGGGCCCAAGCACTTGGGCCATCCTCCACTGCCTTCCTGGGCCACAGCAGAGAGCTGGCCTGGAAGAGGGGCAACCGGGACAGAATCCGGTGCCCCGACCGGGAATAGAACCCAGTGTGCTGGCGCCGCTAGGTGGAGGATTAGCCTATTGAGCCACGGCGCCGGCCTCTCTGTTTTCTTAAAAACAAAATTTTTAACATTTGCAATGAAAGGGAACAATTAATTAAATCCATGATAATGTATTTTCAATACTTATTTCCCCCCCAAAATTGTTGATTTTTATTTATTTGAAAGGGAAAGACATAGAGTCAGACACAGAGAGATCTCCCCTCTGTCAGTTCATTCCAGAAACGTCTGCAACAGCCAGGGTTGAGCCAGGCCTGAGCCAAGAGCCAGAAACTAAATCTGAATCTCCCACATGAGTGGCAAGGACCCAACAAGCTGAGCCATCACCTGCTACCACCCAAGGTGTGCACTGATAGGAACCCAAGGTGCACTAATAGGAGCCTAGGGCTGGTAGTGGAGCCAGGACTTGAACCCAGGCACTCTGATGTGGAATGTGGGCATCACGAACAGCAACTTAACCACTGTGCCAAACTCCCACCCCTTCAGTCTTCATTGCTTTTCTTAATTTTTTTTAAAGATTTATTTCATTTATTTGAAAGGCAGAGTTATAGAACAAGAAAGAGAGACAGACAGAGAGATCTTCCATTTGCTGGTTTACTCCCCAAATGGCCACTATGGTCGGGGCTGGGCCAGGCCAAAGCCAGGAGTGAGGAGCCCCTTCCAGGTCTCTCCCATGTGTGTAGGGCCCCAAGCACTTGGGCCATCCTCTGCTTCTTTCCCAGGCATGTTAGCAGAGAGCTGGATGGAAGTGGAGCAGCCAGGTCTTGAACCGGCACCCAAATGGGATGCCAGCACTACAGACAGCAGCTTAACCCACTACACCACAGCGCCGGCCCCAGTGTTCATTTCTTTAATGATAAAGGAACAAAATAGGAAGCACAAATCATAGAATCAGACCAGCTCAACCAGCTGTGTGACCATAGGCAAGTTACTCAACCCCTCTGAGCTTGTTCCCTCATAATTAAATAAAGTAATAACTCCCTGGCAGTAGTGTCAATAAAATCAGAGAAACTCTACGAAACACATTGTTCTGCAGATAGTAGTCACTCCAAGGCTATTAGGATAAATTTTTAATATCTGAATATGTTTGAGAAGCAGCAAAAAGGGTTACTCTGTAACTTTTTACTTTAGTAGTGAGTCAAAGAAGTCATCACATTAACTTCATGGGCGCCGTTGTGTGACCAAGAAAAAGTCTGCAGCATGAGTTACCATGTCACTCCCCCACAGGCTTTGAAAAACCCCCATCTTCCTTTTTTATGGTCCCCCTCACAAAAAAATGTTTTAACAACAAAGACTTTTATTTGGCTTTCACCAACCTCGCCTCCAGCAGAAAAACAAATGACAAAACAGGCACTCTGAACAGAGATTACTTTGCTCTGAGTCATTTTTAAAAATTGGTTTTAAAAATTCCTTGTGCAAGTTTAAGATATTTTCTTACCTCTGGGATTTTTCTTTTCTATTGAATGGTCAGCACTTTTGCCTATTTGTGGATTCTCTCATTTTCCAAACTCCCATGAGAAGTGTTCCTAATATGCACTGTTCTCAGTGACCCCTCACCCCTGGTCCCCATGCACTAAACTCATGGGTCACCAGGATGCCAGTCCTGCTAGCTACAACACCCGAGAAAGAGCTCCATTAGACTGCAAAGCCTAAATGAAGTCCTAAGGAATTTCGTGAATGTCAATTCACTGAAAATGATCAGATTTCTGGTGCTATCTTGCTTGCATCATGTAACAGAAAGAGCACGGGCTTGGGTACTTTTAGCTTCAGGACCTTATCAAGTCAAATCCCTCTCCGAGCCAGTTTTCTCATCAATAAAATGGAGATGGGAGATCCTACCCTCCTACCCTCCCACCCTCCGAGAGCTGTGGCCCCGACCATCTGATGGAAGGGATGTCACTGTGCTTTGCACTGTGGCTAGTGCTGCTTGTGTTACAGGTTCCTTCACAGATCTTAAGGAGGCCCAGAGATTTGTTCTCTGCCAACTCCTTCCAGCCTCTATGCTGATCAAACAAAGCAATCAGTTCTACCTAAGCAAGAAAGGTGAAGGGGTTATGTTTACAAGTGTCAGAACAGGGAACAAGAGTGGTCACGGACTAGGCAGGAAAATTAGATGGCTTAAAAAGCCTGGATGGAGGAATGACAGAGAGGCCAGCTGGGCTCTCAGAGCATTGATAGGTTGGAAACCAGGTGTTGGGGTAGAGGGCGAGGCAGGCAAAGGCAGTCCCATCTATCTCCTGCTTAGGGTCTCTTGGCTTTTCCAGTAATGTGTGGGGACTTTAGTAAACTGGATGTTCCTGAGTGGAAACGGGGGAGTAGGGCCTGTGAGTGCCAAGCCCAGTTAGAAATTAGAGAGAAAGAATGCCTGCTAGGGTGATGTCAGCATGTGCAGAATTCTTTCTCTCTTTCTCTGTCTCTCTCTCTCTCCCCAACCCTTCTCCCTCTAAAAGAAAACAACACCAACAGGATACAGAGATTAACACTGGAAATTTAGAAATGTGGACTCTTGGGCTGCATCCCAGACCTGCTGGATCAGAGTCTTCATTTTAATAAGATTCCCTAGGGCTTCACAGCATGTTCAAGTTTGAGGAGCGTGGTTTAAATTCTTCAAATAGAAAGGGTTGACAGCTTAGAGAGGCTGATAGAACCCAGAACAATCAGTGCCAAATATTTTTTAGCTTTGTAGATGAACAAAGATACAGTTTACAGAGGACGCTCCTGGCTCCTGGCTCCTGGCTCCTGGCTCCTGGCTTTGGATCAGCACAGCTCTGGCCATTGCAGCCAATTGGGGAGTGAACCATTGGATGGAAGACCTCTCACTCTCTCTGCCTCTCCTTCTCTCTCTGTGTAACTCTTTCAAGTAAATAAATATATATTTTTTAAAAAGATGCCATTTAAAAAGTGTACCTTAATGTCTTCAGTGGAGGTGGGGGAGAGCATTTTAATCAGACGGTTTGATTAGGCATATTAACATGACTAAGTACTTAACAAGATGTTCCTGTTAAATATTAAGAAGGAGCAACCAGGGGTGGACGTTCAGCCTAGCAGTTAAGACGCTGGTTACGGATGCCCACGTCCCCTATGGGATAGAGTGCTTGGGTTCTACACCTGGTCCTGAATCCAGCCTCCAGCCAATGCAGATCCTGGGATGCAGTGGTGATGGCTCAAGGAATTGGGTTCCTGTCACTCACAGGGGAAACCTGGATTGAATTTCTGGCTTCTGCTTTCTGGCACTGCTGCAGAGGAGCTCTCTCTAGCTCTCAGATAATCAAAAAAAAAAAAAAAAAAAAAAAAAAAAAAAAAGGGAAGGACAACTGAATCTGAATCAAGTAGAGCTGACAATGGGAACTTGTGCAAATTGTATCTACATTCTTTAGATAAGAGAGGAAGGAAAGAAGAGGATAAGATAAGATGTGTGCCCACCCTGCTCCCCACCTCCCTCCCTTCTCTCCTGAGCCCCCAGCTGGTGATTTATACACCTGCCCTCCCTGCACTCCTATGTTGGTCTCCTTGAGCCAGGAAACTTAAGGGAATGGAAATAATGCAAGCGGGAGATCCAAAAGTAAACAGGAGGAGTGGGGGGGGGGGGCAATGTAATTCATAAGCTGTACTTTGGAAATCTATATTCATTAAATAAAAGTTAAAAAAAAAAAAAAAAGTAAACAGGGGGTGTCTGTCCAGGGCGTCTGGCAGCTGGGAACTGTGGGAATCACTGGTCAAGGACAGCAGCTCTCCTTGGTCATGGGACCTGCCAGGATACTCCCAAGGACAAGCGGCCATGGCCTCCAGAGGTCCTGTTGTGCAGTGGGGGTAGTCATTACAGCCAGGGTTTTCGAGGCAGACCGACCTGCATGTGAATCCTGCCTCTACTGTGTACCAGCTCTGTGCTCTTGGGTGTATCCTGTGACATTTTGAGTCTCAGTGCTCTCAACTGTGGAAAGGGATAATAATGTGGGATAATATGGGACAGCTTAGAGAGCTGTGAGAATTAAGGAGTTGATATATGTAGAGTACAGGGCCCAGTGTTTCATAGTTGAGTTCCTTTCAGCTCCCGGGGAATTCCCTCCCAGGACTGTGTAGACAGCAGTTTCTGAGGCTTCCAGGGATGCCCGTGGGCCAGGCCATTCGCTCCGGGGCCTGTGCTCCAGGAATCCTCCCCTTCATCAGGAATGGTAGGGGTGGGAGTAGTGGTGGAGGACAACTTTCCCAAGGCCTGAGTGTCCTAATCTTTCCCACCCAATCAGAAGGGAAAGATGACCGGCAGAGAGGGAGAGGCTAGGTCAGGACCCATGCTCAGGGCCAGGAGAATCACCTGCAACATTCTTTCAGGGAATGTTAGTGTTTCTGTGTATCCACAGAACCACCCCTGAGGATCACACAGGGCCGGCAGAGGCAGTGTAAAGTACTGGGACCCCAAATGTGGCACCACAAAGATCTGCCCTCACATCCTGGCTCTTGGCTTGCCTTACCAGCTATGTGTCTTCAGGCAAATGACTGGACTTTTCTGAGCCTCCTTTTTACATCTGGAAAATCGGAGATTTCGCAGTGCATATTACACGGCACATGCACAGGCTCTGAAACAGTGCTTGGCACATGGCAGGGACTCAGTAAATGGTAGCTGCTATAATTATTAGGGTGAATATAATTACTCGCATTTTAAAGATGAACAGTTGGAGGCTTAGAAAGATCAAGGGTTATTTAAGTCTTGTGATTTCCAGCCTGGGGCTCCTTCCACTTTTTGAAAACACCTTGGGAGTTGATGAGGGGCTCTGAGCCCAGAGAGCTTTACCTGCCAAAGGTCCAGGCCAAGGACGCTGATGTTGTAATAGTGACAAATGGTGGGGTCAGGCTTGTACTTAGGGTTGTCTATTTCTGGATGAATCCACTCCCCTTGGTAATTGGGATTGTCAATGATCCGGGGTTTCCATTGTCCCTAAAACAAGGAACCAAAGAGTGAATGTGGCATTAGGTTTTTGCCATTTTTCTGACCTCATACAATCCTTAATTGGTTCCTTCACTTAAGTGCATTAGACTTAACAATTCAGAGTAAGGTTCTGGGGGCTTCCTTCCTTTTCTTTAACACAAAACACTACCAAGTTCCCCTTTCTACCCAGAGGGAGCCAAATGAGGTGGCCAGGACCCATTCTGACCTTGGTCTTATCTGTCTGCACAAGCTCCTTCATGAAGTCAAGAAAAAGTAGCTTCTCAGAGAACATTATCTTAGTGTCCTTGGGCTCAGGACCATTGTCCTCCTGGTGTGCAGCACAGGAAGGTATGGCCAAATACTGTTCTGCTTGCTTTAGTCTGTTGTACCACTGCACCATTGGCTGATTCCTCGTTCTTCTGGCCTCCGACACAGGCCAGGCATTAGCCCTTAGAGAGGTTCCCCTCCTCTATCACTCTTGGCTCCTTTTTTTTTCCACTCTTGGCTCTTGCATGGGCTCTTGTTCTACCCCTTTCCCTTCAGGCCCACTTCTGAGACTCCCAGTTCCTGACCTCAGACCCATTTCCTGTTTTGATCCTGTTCCTTTGACTGGCTGCTGTCCACCGCTCTGGACAAACCCTGTGCCCAGAGCTGCCCAGACTGCTACCGTCAGCCTTGGCTTCTGCAGCCCACTGTCTCCCAAGCAGGCACCTCCCTGAGAGCAGGGCCGAGAGGAAGTGACTGTTGTATTTGGAGGGGAGGGCAGATGACCACAGGATCCCAAAGTTTCTGTTTTGTAGATCAGAATTTACATCTCTCCAGGCTTCCTCCTCACACCCATTGGAAAGAGACCCCTCACCTTGTACTTTACGTTGGGTATCAGGGGCCCTGCCCACTCCCCATCCATGGCCTCATTCCAGTCGGCGGGCTTCTTGGCCTCTGGGTCTGGGATGTACTCAGAGTCTTCCCAGTCCTAAAATGAAACGTTCCTCCATGAGGACTGGGATAAAACTGGGGTCCAGAGTGCAGTCTAACTAGATCTTTCTCCCCACCCCCACCACTCTCCTGCTCTCACCTGTATGAAGGTTGATCAAAACTCTACAAACAATCCCAGTGCAGGGGAGAAGAAGCCTTGAAGCACCTCTGACCCTTCCTCTGGGTTCACTTTCGCTCTGACTTCCAGTCCTTTAAGCTCCAGGAAGATGGACTTTCCCTAAGATCTGACCTGAGCTTCCCCCAGTCAGGTGCCCTGCAATGGTTTGGATGTGGTTTACTTCTGCCCAAATTTAACTGCTAAGGTAAATGGAGAGGTATTGCAATTCCTGCAGCAGCACTGGAGCCCCCAGGATAGGGTAGTGACTCTGTACCTAAGGAAGTGCAGAACAACTGAGACAAGCAGTAAGTGTCCTATCCTGGGGCCATGCTCTGGGCTACTCAGCCTCCATCTTTCTCTGGTCTCTCAGTGGGAGACATCAAGGCCTGCAGCCCTTCTGCTCTCCCAGCCTTGAGCCAATCTGGACAGTATCAGGTGAACAGTCCTCACCAGGAGGGGGGTTTTGTGGTTAGTCTTGCTGCCCTGTCTGCTAGGTCTGGCAGAAACCTAGCCCTCGATATTCCCACGGTGTTAAAGGTCCAGGCCTGTGCCGCGGCTCAATAGGCTAATCCTCCGCCTGTGGCACCAGTACCCCAAGTTCTAGTCCCGGTCGGGGTGCCAGATTCTGTCCTGGTTGCCCCTCTTCCAGGCCAGTTCTCTGCTGTGGCCCGGGAGGGCAGTGGAGGATGGCCCAAGTGCTTGGGCCCTGCACCCCATGGGAGACCAGGATAAGTACCTGGCTCCTGCCATCGGATCAGCACGGTGCGCCGGCCGCAGCACGCTGGCCGCGGTGGCCATTGGAGGGTGAACCAACGGCAAAGGAAGACCTTTCTCTCTGTCTCTCTCTCTCACCGTCCACTCTGCCTGTCAAAAAAAAAGGTCCAAACACTTTACCTGCTTATCTGCCTTTATCTGCCTTAAGTGCTTGAGTACAACTCCCTCTCCTTAGGACTGGTGTCCCTGGCTGAATTTCCCTACACATGGCTGGGCCACTGTACGTCACTCCATAGGCCTCTTCTTGGGTCCCATGCTGTTCCCTGCCTGACCTCAAACATCTCCTCTGCACAAGACTGACCTTGCTCTGACCTGTGTGGTAGCAATATGGCAGATGAGGCACTCTATGGCTTGACTCCAACAGACCTGTCCAGCCTCACTTCCCATGACAACCCACCTTGAACTTTATGTTCCCAAATAATGAACGGCTACTCTCAGTTCTTTACATGTTATTTTCCACTTAACCGTTGGGACCTTGTTTCTGCTGCTCCCTGGGTCTGGAATATCTTCCTTTAACCTACTTTTCTTGCTCTAATGAGTCAAGTGTTTGGAATTCAGTAAATTATTAACCTATTAAGGTCATATATTAAAAACTTACTATATACCTAGCACCATAGTTTGTATTTTATGTTAGCATATTTAATCTTCACAACAACCTTCACACATAGGTATTATAATAATCCCTGTTTATTAAATTGGCTTTCACAGAAGTAATGTTCCTTGCTCAGGTCTAACTGTTAATAAGTTGGAGATTCACAGTGAGTAAATATTGGAGCTCACAGACCAGTATTGTGATGCAGTAGGTTAAGTCACTGCTGGCAATGCCAGCATCCCATATCGGAATGCCCTTTCTAGTCTCGGCTGCTCCACTTCTGATCCAGCTCCTGCTAATGTGACTAGGAAGGCTGAAGATAATGGCACAAGTACTTGGGTCCCTACCAACCGTGTGGGAGGCCAGGATGGAGTTTCTTGCTCCTGGCTTCAGCATAGTCCAGAGCCTGCCTTTTGGGGAGTGAACCAGCAGGTGGAAGAAGATCTCTATCTCTCTGGCCGGCACTGGGGCTCACTAGGCTAATCCTCCGCCTTGTGGTGCCGGCACACCGGGTTCTAGTCCCAGTCAGGGCACCGGATTCTGTCCCGGTAGCCCCTCTTCCAGGCCAGCTCTCTGCTGTGGCCAGGGAGTGCAGTGGAGGATGGCCCAAGTCCTTGGGACCTGCACCCCATGGGAGACCAGGAGAAGCACCTGGCTCCTGCCATCGGATCAGCGCGGTGCGCCGGCCGCAGTGTGCCGGCCGCCGCGGCCATTGGAGGGTGAACCAAAGGCAAAAGGAAGACCTTTCTCTCTGTCTCTCTCTCGCTGTCCACTCTGCCTGTCCAAAAAAAAAAAAAAAAAAAAATCTCTATCTCTCTCCCTCTCTCTCTGTCATTCTGCCTTTCAAATAAATAAATAAATAAATAAATAAATAAATAAATAAATCTTTGTTTTATAAAATAGTGGAGCTCAGATTCTAACCCATGTGTCTGTCTCTAGAGTTTATGTTCCAACCCTTAGGGTATGCTCATCACTCAAGCATTTCCTCCTCCTTTCTAGACCCCTGCCAGTTCCCCATCCCAGTCAGGGTGAGGACCGTCTTTTGGGTTCTCTGAGCCATTGGATCCCCTGATTCTTAGCACTGATCTCACAGCGGGATTTCTTGGTTATACACACACACACATACACACACCCCTCTAGACTGAGTCCCCGGAAGCAAAGATTCTCCTATTCATAGCTCTATCCAGTATAGGTTTCCAAAATGCGATAAATACACTGCACTCCACACATTCCCCATATTGGTCACCTTGGAGTCAAAGATATGTACATTCAAATCCTGGTTCTAACATGTGTGTACTTGGGCAAATGCCCAATTCTTTTTTTTTTTTTTTTTTTTTTTGACGGAGTGGACAGTGAGAGAGAGAGACAGAGAGAAAGGTCTTCCTTTACTGTTGGTTCACCCTCCAATGGCCGCCACGGCCAGCGCACTGATCCGATGGCAGGAGCCAGGTACTTATCCTGGTCTCCCATGGGGTGCAGGGCCCAAGCACTTGGGCCATCCTCCACTGCACTCCCTGGCCACAGCAGAGAGCTGGCCTAGAAGAGGAGCAACTGGGACAGAATCCGGTGCCCCGACCAGGACTAGAACCCAGTGTGCCGGCGCCGCAAAGCAGAGGATTAGCCTAGTGAGCCGTGGCACCGGCCAAATGCTCAATTCTTTAAGCATCAGTTTTCTTATGCACGATAGAAGAATCACAACACACTGCCCACACAGGCTGTCAGAAGGGTCAACTGATCTCAGTGAATCTGAGTTGCTGTGCTCTTTCTTGGTATCTTTGGATACCAATATTAACTGCACGCCTCCTTGAGGGATTGATGCCCCTGTCTCTGTTCCATAGTTTCTAGCCTCCTCCTCCTCTCCCCACAGTAGAGATTCTGCCGGCTTCCCAGCCAAACACCCTCTGACCTCAGGTTTCTTATCTTCAGGATCCTCTATTTGCAGGCGCTCGTCCCATTTCCGTGGTTTCCGGGCATAGGGATCTTTGATTTTTCTGGGAGGCAAGAAGTCCCAGTCATCCTCCAGTTCCCCAGCTGCTACTTGCTGGTTGTCAATTTTGACCTCATAGGTAGCATTGGGGCGAATGATCAGAGTGTACAGGTGAGTGTCTTTATTGATCTATAAAGGGAAGATGGAAATATCACAGTTCTATATTGGACATCTTTGGACTTCAAGCATCATACGCACCCTGAAGGCCACCCCCACATATTTACAAATACATTTACCACACCCCTCTGTCCATTTCTCTGGTTACCTCTATAGGGATTCTGCATGTTATTCTCATCCACACTCTGGTCTCTCCAAGCCTCAGTCTTTCCCTCCCCTGCAGCTCTGATCAGTCCATGATCTTGCCTGTTTCTCCGTCCAGACCCCTAGCCTGTGAGCGTCTCAACAGCACGGATCACATATGAGTCATCAGTTGGGTCTACAGTTTCTTCCGCAAGGCACGCCCATGAGTACTTCAGGGAACCACTACATGTTTAGTTCATGCACGGTCCTGCTAAGGAGGACCCCGGGCCTGAACACAAGTTCTCCGGTGACCAAAGCCCTGTAGGATTCTCCAGCCTCTGCTCCTGCCCCTCCTCTGTGTCTCAGTGGTGCCAAACTTCTTATGGTGCTGCTGTCTCTCAAGTTGCCTTGACTTTTCTCATAAAATTATCTCTTCCAGGAATTTGGTTCTTGAAATTTCACACCCCATCACAAGACCAAGTCATGTTTATTTTCCAAAGCTCAGTACAGGGGAAACCTCTAAGCTTCCAAGGTGGATAGGGGATCTCCTGTGCCTCCACAGATGCCGTCACACTAGACAGTAACTTCCCTTCGCTAGATTCTTACCTTCAGCTGACTGTGAATTCTGTGAGGTCAGGGACCACGTCTGGCTCACTTTGTCCCCAGCTTTTGGTGAATGCCCATCTGTTTGCAGATGAGATCCAGCTACTGTCTTGTAGTTGACCAAGGTCTCAGTAACTTGATGTTACTAGGATGCACTGACCACCACACGCCACCACCACCCATTGCTAAGCCCAGTACTCCCTACCTCCACTGTCCGCTCCAATATTTGGCAGTGGGGAATGGCCAAGACAGAACCTTATGCAGCTTGCTAGGCTTTTGGAGCAACTGTTCCTTTGCAAACTCCTCCAATTTACAGCACTTCTCTAAGTCTAATTTCTAACTTGTAAAATGCAGGTGATGATATTTAATTTATAGGGCTTTTGTCAGAATTCAATGAGATAACATAAATAAAATGCTTATGGTAACTTCCCCCTGGACTGAGGACCAGCCCACACACTTACCCTGCACTTGATGGTCTTGTTGTTCTCATGGTATTTCCCTTGGTAATGAAGAATGACCTGTACTTTGTTGTTGCCAAAGCCACAGATGTCAGGGCCTGGAATCAAACCCCAAAGCACAGTTTCACATCTCTTTTAGGCAGTTTTTGCCCAGTCCGAGGTCAGGAGCCGTGACAGACACAGCCTGTGTATTAATTAGAGTCTCAGCAGGAAATAGATGGCACATTCAGCTTGAGAATTATTGGGGAAGGATTTAATGAAAGAATTATTTACAAAGGTGGAGCAGGACACAGAGACACAGCTCCCAGCAGCAGGAGGCTGGTCCCACCCTAGGCCTGAAGGGACCAGAAGAAGGAGTGGTTGCCAGAGCCAGGAGCAGTGTCCAAACCTAACCTGAAACCCCTGTGCCAGGCATTGTATATCATGCCATCTAATTCTCACAAGTAGGTGTACTTTTTGCTGGGAATATTGTCACTCAGAAAAGTTAACCAGCTTGCCCAAGGTCAAACAACTAATAAGTACTCTTGCTGAGATTCAAACCTATGCATACCTAGCAAAAAACCCTGGGGTCCTTTCAGCTGTACCAGCATTCGGGGAGTGAACCAGCAAATGAAAAAAAAATCTCTCTCTTCCTCTTGTTCTGTAACTCTGCTTTTCAAATAAATAAATAAACCTTTTTAAGATTTTTTACTTATTTATTTATTTGAAAGGCAGAGATAGAGGGAGAGAGCGAGAGAGAGCGAGTGCTTCCATCTGCTGCTTCACTCCCCAAATGGCTGCAACAGCCAGGACTGGGCCAGGCTGAAGCCAGGAGCCAGAAACTCCTTCTAGATCTCCCACATGGGTGCAGGGCCCAAGCACTTAGGCCATCTTCTGCTGTCTTCCCAGGCGCATCAGCAGAGACCTGGACCAGAAGTGGAGCAGCCAGGACTCATGCCAGACCCATATGGGATGCTGGCACTCCAGGCAGAGGCTTAACCTTTACACCATAGCACCGGCCCCAAGAAAATATTTTTTATTAAAAGATTTATTTGTTTATTTGAAAGGCAGAGAGAGAGAGAGAAAGAGAGAGAGAGAGAGAGAGTTCTTCTATCTGCTGTTTCTCTCCCCAAATGCCTGCAATGGCCAGAACTGGGCTGGTCCAAAGCCAGGAGACATGGAGCTTCTTCTGGCTCTCCCAGGTTGGTGCAGAGGCCCAAGGATTTGGACCATCTTCCTCTGCTTTCCCAGGAGCACTAGCAGGGAGCTAGATAGGAAGTGGAGCAGCTAGAACTTGAACTGCCACCAATATGGGATGGCAGCACTAAAGGCAGTGGCTTTACCTGCTATGCCACAGTGCTGGCCCCTCAATGAAATATTTTTTAAAGTTATTTGAAAGGGGGCCGGCGCTGTGGAGTAGCAGTAAAGCTGTCACCTGCAGTTCTGGCATCTCATATGGCGCCAGTTTGACACCCAGCTGTTCTACTGCCGATCCAGCTCTCTGCTATGGCCTGGGAAAGCAGTAGAAGATGGCCCCAAAATCTTTGGGCCCCTGCACCCGTGTGGGAGACCTGGAAGAAGCTCCTGGCTCCTGGCTTCGGAGTGGCGCAGCTCCGGCCGTTGCAGCTAATTAGGGAGTGAACCAGTGGATGGAAGACTTCTCTCTCTCTGTGTAACCCTGACTTTCAAATTAATTAATTAATTAATTAATTATTAGTCTTTTTTTAAAAAAAGTTATTTGAAAGGCACAAAGAGACAGACAGAGGTCCTATCCACTGGTTCATTCCCCAAATGTCTACAACTGCTGGAACCAGGCCAGAGTCAGGAGCCAGGTCTCCCATATGGGTAGCAAGGACTCAATCACTGATCACTTGCTGCTTCCCAGGGTCTGCAGGAGCAAAAATCTGGAATCAGGAACTGGAGCTGTGCATTTAAACCCAGGTACTCTCATGTGAAATGCAGGTATTTCATCCACATTTTAACCGCTAAACGCCTGCCCCTTAACATACACACCAACCTCACCTTCCATGTTGTGGGGAGCAACTCGGACTAGACTGTTACTGGAATTAAGACTTATTCTATGCATCTGCTTTCCCACAATATGGCGCTGAGAAGGGAGTAACAACTTCTACGCAGCTGCCTCTCGCCAACTTGAGTGATGACCTGCAGGAGCTGATCCTGCTCCTGATTGGAGGAGAGCAGCATATTCGGCGTGTGGGTAGCAGAGTTGGGATTGGTGGAAGAGGACTATAAAGGAGGAGAGAGACAACATGCACCAGGAACATCTATCTGAAGGAACACCTGAGCAGCCCCCGAGAGAGCTGGCCGGCGGTGTGCCGCTCCCCCGCGGAAGTGGGGAAAGTGGCAGGGGGAACCGCCCTTCCACGGAGGTGGAAGGGACGGTAGCCAACCCGGGAAGAACCAGCAGCAAACCCGGGGAGGGCCGAGCAGACAAAAGAACAACGCAGGGTCCTGTGTCGTTCCTCCACGAAGAGGGGGAGCGACATAATGGTGCCGTGACTCGGATATGAAGCCTAGGCAGGGTCTAGTGTCGTTCCTCCACGAAGAGGGGGAGCGACACCATGTTATTGCTCTCTGACTATGCAAAAAACACACATACACATCTGCACAGTGTGCCCTAGCCACATGGGTCTCGCCATTTCTCTACTTGCATTTGAATTCATGCCTGAGCTTTTGCATTCGCTGTTTCCTGGGCCCTCCACCTCCTTGCCTATTAAAATTGAACTCACTCTTCAAAGAACAATTAATACATCCTCCAAAAGGCCCCATTGGGTTGAATCATGCCTTCTGTGATCTCACAGTGCATCATCCATTCCTGTTTAAAGGTATATCTTTCATTCTGCCTTTTAAAAAATTATTCACTTGCCTGCAGGTATGAGTGGAGCGGAAAAAACATAGGCTTTAGAGCCATAGTATTTTAGACTGGGTTCAAATACTGGCTTCCTGCTTACCTTAGGCAAAATTCTTGCCCTCATTTCCTCATCTGTAAAGTGGAGATAACAGCCCAATCTTGTCGAGTTTTTGAATATAGAATAAATAATAATTGCATGAAGGAAAAAATTACATTTTTTATTATTTCCAATTTCCCTACTGCCACCACCACATGCATACCCACATGAACACAAAGTGGGCAAAGGCACACTTTATAAACACCTAGAGTACAATATTGGTCTGCATAAGAAAAAAGAGTAGATGGCAGGAGGATGCAGACAGAAAAAGTGCAGGGAGGATTTTGGCAAGGTCTTGCAAAGGGAGCTCTGATGCTCCCTAGACAAGGAAGGGGAGGCGTAGAAGGGAAACTTGAGGGGAATTTTGCTGCGGGATGTGGGTGTAAACTTTCCTCTGACTCTACCAAAAACATTCAGTACAGTCCATGTTCTTCAGCTGTGCTTTGAGAGTTAGATTGATTGTTATTGTTTGTTGTTTTTTTTAGTATCAACAATGTTGCAACTGGATTCAAGGTTAGATGGAGCTGAGTAAGAGCTGGACTGCCCCCAGGAGGCCTGGAACACAACTAGGCTGCAGATGCAGTCCTCCCAGCACAGTACAGATGCTTGATGAAGGTCATTTCCTGCACCTTTCTCCCTCCCCACCCCTCACCCCCGCCCCAGGCAGAGCACGGGGCCTCACGGCAATATGCACACAGAAGAATGTCTGCACAGTGTGTGACCTCCTTCCCCTTTTCAGAGAACTGGGGAGTGTGCCCCTGTACTGTAGAGCTTGCTAATGCCAGGTTGCTCCCTACCCCATCTCTTTGGTCTACTTAAATTAGCATTTAAGTTTAGAGTTGCTTTTTTCAGACCTTTGAAAGAGTTGTACAGCCGAGGAGGTGTGGAGCTATCACATAAAAAGTATTCTTTTCCAGGTCATTCTGAACCTTTCCAACAACCACAGTGGCTCTTACATGATCCCATGGGGCTGACATCTATCGGTGAGCTTACCAAACATGATGTAATACTCAGATTCCGAATGCATATCCTCTTGGTTCAGGGTAGCAGGAAAGAGTTTCACGTACCCACCACCACAATCGATGCCTTGCTCGTGTTTTACTGAAAACTGAACCACCAAGGTCTCATTCACATTGCTGAATGGCTTAAATCGGGTCGAAAGGGCATAAAACTTGGCATCTTCACTGGTCTGGAGACCTGGAGGCAGAGACCACAGTCTTCAGGCAAACATCCCCAGAAAGCAGCCAGAGAGACCCAGCACTTGACCTAACTTGACCCAAGGCTGCTCTGGTATTTTTTTTTAATTTTTAATTTTTTTGACAGGCAGAGTGGACAGTGAGAGAGAGAGAGAGACAGAGAGAAAGGCCTTCCTTTGCCGTTGGTTCACCCTCCAATGGCCGCCGCGGCCAGCACGCTGCAACCGGTGCACCGCGCTGATCCGATGGCAGGAGCCAGGTACTTATCCTGGTCTCCCATGGGGTGCAGGGCCCAAGCACTTGGGCCATCCTCCACTGCACTCCCTGGCCACAGCAGAGAGCTGGCCTGGAAGAGGGGCAACCGGGACAGAATCCGGTGCCCTGACTGGGACTAGAACCCGGTGTGCCGGCGCCGCTAGGCGGAGGATTAGCCTAGTGAGCTGCGGCACCGGCTGCTCTGGTATTTTCTTACATATCTACTATGTACCAGCTGCTGTGCTGGAAGCTTTACCCACATCTCTTTCAAGCCACCCTGCAAAATGGATATTCCCACCTCACAAAGCAGGAGGCTGAGTCACGGAGTGATCTGTTTAGGGCCCACAGCTAGTCAGGGACCAAGCTGGGATTTTTTATTTTTAAGATTAATTTATTTATGTGAAAGGCAGAAAGAGACAAATACAGAGATCTTCCCTCTGCTGGTTCACTCCCCCAATGTCCGCAATGGTCAAGGCTGGGCCAGGTTGGAACTGGGGAGCTGAGAACTCAGTCCAGGTCTCCTATGTGGGAGGCAGGGACCCAAGCACCTGCAGCAGCATCATGTGCCTTCCAAGGCACATGCTTGTATGAAACTGGAATCAGGAGTCCCCGAGTGGGGACTCAAACCCAAGCCTTCAATCTGGGATGCCCAAGATTGGGTGTCCCAAGTGGCATTTTGAACAAAAGACCAAATGCCTACCCCTCCAAGCTCAGATTTTAAGCCATGTTTGTTTGATTCTTCCTTTCTCCTATACCATGCTGTCTTTAATTTTCTAGAGATTACAGAATTCTGTTCCGCACCTTTACAAAACAAGCCCTGATTCTCTGAGGCCTCTTCGGTGGCCAGAATGAGGCTGTGCCACGCACAAGTGCTGTTGAAGAAAGAAGTCCTACACTGCCTCTTAGATTGAGCAGTGATGGTTGTTAACATGTATGGAACACATGCATTCACCCATGTGTTTCATAGAACTTAATCCTCGTGGTAACTCCATGAGGTGGGCTCTACTAACACCACCACTAATATGACAACATTGAGGGCTCTGTCACGTGTCTGCATCCCCAACCAGTCTGGGGAATTCCCACCCTCCACCATGAGCTTTTCCTCTCCTTCAGAAAATACCAGGGCTGTCGGGAGTCTGGGAGCCTCTCCATAGTCTAACTACATGACTCTGTAGATGAAGAAAGCACACACAGTCACAGATGAGACATACAAGCCACGTCTCCCCGCTTCCAGCAAGCAACATTCCTGTCATTCTGAGTCTCAGGCCCTCTTCGGCAACACGTGGATAATTACTCCTACCTGGGAGATTCCTGATGAAGACCACATGGGTAAGAGGCGTGAGAAATACTTTGTAAACTGTCAACACAAAATGTAAGTAAGAGCTACACCAATATCCGTGCTTCCTGAGGGGCCTTCCTTCAAAACACCGCAGCTGTCTGAACTTCCATGGGCTTATGTCAGGCTCTGAATAATTTTTAAGCTCCTGAAGATCAAAGGCGTCTTTATATTCCCAGCATCTAGGACAGGGCCTGGGCTCACTGTGCTAACTTGCCTGGAAGGATCCCCCGGTCTGATTCCGATGATGATGCTTGGGCATTTATAGCACCCCAGGCTCTATGGTATGCACTTTCATGCCTGACGATATGTTATCGCGCCTACACTTTAAGGAGTATGCTTAGTTCCCCGAAGATCTTAAGGTGGGCTAGAGTAGCCCAAGAAGACTGCATGGGGGCGGGAGTGGGCACCAGGGAAAGAGCACACAGTTTGTAGGCATGAAGTCATGGTTTGAGTCACTGCTCTGCCAAGCCCTGCAGGCAGCCCAAGTCACTCCCCGCTCTCTCAACCTCATTTGCACCCCAAGGCCCTTCTAGCTAGCTAGGCAGAATCAAATGAGCCCAACTGGGACAAGATGTGAGATGCGATAGCTGACAATTCAACAGAGATGAGACTGGGCGGCAGCAGACTGCCTTCACAGGGGTCGTGGAGGCACAGGCCTCCCAGGGACCTCTCAGGCTCCCATTCTGTCTCCTCTGGAAACAATTTTCCGGAGTGGATTTAAATGAGATTTAAAGTGCTCAAGCCAGTTCATAATTCTCTCCCTTAATAAACATGAAAATCAGATTCATAACAGCAGCCAGGAGGGAGAAGATGGGAAACCACTCCAGGGAACGATCAATGGATTCTATTTATAGGACCAAAGCTTTCTCCAGCAAAAAAGAAAAAAAAACATGCCCACAGACCTTGTCCTCAGAGCTCACCCTTCCTCCACAACATTATTTGACTCTCCCAACAGCCCAGGCTAATGGTAGGCAGTGATTATTACCTCTATATAATATCAGGGCTCAGAGATGTAAGATTTGCCCAAAATGACACAGCCAGTGACTCACAGGAGTCAGCCCTAGGTTTATCTGTTTTCATTCTCCATCTCACTAAGCGGTTGTAGGGGAGAGAGAGATTTGGGTGTTCTATGGTGCTTGCCTCTATTTCAAGTAGAGTGATATTTGAAAAACCCCAGCGGCCTGGGAAAAGTGCTAATGAACACAGTCCCTGGTGGCAGATCCAGAATCAGATCTCAGCCCCACCTCTTGCCAGCTGTGTATATAGCCCCGGGCAAGTGGCTCTACCTCTCTGAGGCTTCTTTGCAAAACTGGGAAAATAATAGTAATCACCTCTCAAAGTTGCTAGGGAGATTAATGGGGACAATGGATGTAAGAGCTTGGTTTGAGATGTCATTCAGCGAATGGATGTTAGCATTTTTCTAGGGAAGTTTATTCTTTTCTATTTTTAAGAACAAGAAATGACTTGATTGTAGATAAAAGACAATTGTCTGACAGTCACAATTTTTTTTGTCAATTAGTGTATTCCTGAATCCCACATTTACCTTTATCTTTTTCTTTGTCTGCGTAAAATCTTCCAGCAGTGAGCTGAAATTTCCCATAATCCGGCTGGTGTTTAGATTCTACCCATCGTTTTTTCCATCCATCTAAAAAACAAAGGAAAAAACAGCAACACATAGAAAGTACTTACTTTCTTAAAGACATTAAAATGCTGCTAATGCTGACTGGGACTCAGAGGAGTGGCAAGGGTGTATCTGGGGAAGGCGGCAATATTCCTGAAATCCCCAGTCTGTGCATTCCAATGTGGAGTGGCTCAACTACCAAGCCATTTGTAAGTTAACGCCCTACTGCACCCTCTTGCATGACAGTTAAATCCTGAAAGTCACTAAGAGACTATGTGGTTGAAAGGCATGAAATATTTATTCTCATAAAAGTAGGTGGAGGGCCAGCATTGTGGCACAGCGAGTTAAGTCACTGCTTGTAATGCCAGCTTCCCATGTGAGCACCAGTTCTTTTTTTTTTTTTTTTAAGATTTATTTATTTATTTGAAAGTCAGAGTTACACAGAGAGAGGAGAGGCAAAGAGAGAGAGAGAGGTCTTCTATCCAATGGTTCACATCCAATGGTTCACTCCCACAATGGCCAGAGCTGTGCCAATCCGAAGCCAGGAGCCAGGAACTTCTTCCTGGTCTCCCACACGGGTGTAGGGGCCCAAGGACATGGGCCATCTTCTACTGCCCTCCCAGGCCATAGCAGAGAGCTGGTTTGGAAGTGAAGCAGCTGGGTTTCAAACCAGCACCGATATGGGATGCCGGCACTTCAGGCCAGGCCGTTAACCCACTGCGCCACAATGCTGGCCCCAGAGCACCAGTTCTTGTCCCAGCTGCTCCACTTCCAAGTCAGCTCCTGCTAACATGCCTGGGAAGGAAGGAGAAGAAGGCCCAATTGCTTGAGCTCCTGCTCCCCACATGGGAGACTCAAATGGAATTCCAGGCTCCTGGCTTCGGCCTGGCCCAGCTCTGGTCATTGGAGCAATTTGGAGAATGAGCCAACAGATGGAAGATCTCTTTCTCTCATTTCTCTCCTTCTCTCTGTCACTCTGCCTTTCAAATAAATGAATGTGTAAGGTTTTTTTTTTTTTAAGTGTAGATGGAAAAATATGCTTAGGGAGACAAAGCCCTTATACATATTCATGGGTTTTTTTTGTTTTGTTTTTTTGTTTTGTTTTGTTTTGTTTTTTTGACAGGCAGAGTGGACAGTGAGAGAGAGAGACAGAGAGAAAGGTCTTCCTTTGCCGTTGGTTCACCCTCCAATGGCCGCCGCGGCTGGCGCGCTGCGGCCGGCGCACCGCGCTGATCCGATGGCAGGAGCCAGGAGCCAGGTGCTTTTCCTGGTCTCCCATGGGGTGCAGGGCCCAAGCACCTGGGCCATCCTCCACTGCACTCCCTGGCCACAGCAGAGAGCTGGCCTGGAAGAGGGGCAACCGGGACAGAATCCGGCGCCCCGACCGGGACTAGAACCCGGTGTGCCGGCGCCGCTAGGCGGAGGATTAGCCTAGTGAGCCGCGGCGCCGGCCCTATATTCATGTTTAGTACAGTAAAATAATAAAATCTCCCACAAGTAAAGACATTAGCAATAACATTTTATACTTTTATACTTTTTGAATTAGTAATATGATGACAATCAATTTCCATTTACCCCTTTTTGTTATTTAAATTTTTTAGACCCTTCCTTGCAGTTCAAGGAGATGCTAATAAATTTGCTTTGCTTTGTCCTAGATGGCACATAGACAAAGAAGTGCTCTTTTTGGATCTGGCACTCCTTCCAAACATTCAGTGCCTTCCTGATTGTGTGCTTGGAGTTGCTGACTCCTGCTTCCTGGACCCACCATGATCCCAGAGTCACAGGGCAATCCAGCAGAAGAGGCCTTAAAGGTAGCCTATATTTCATCTCCCTGCAGCTAACTGGACATTTCTCAAATCCCACAGCCTAATATCTAAGGTTATTGCTTTAAGCTCTCCGCACAAAAACCCTTTATCACCACACATCCACTAAGACCACAGCTCCTATTACTCAAGTCTGATGACTCAGCTACCATGTCTCATGAGACCCAGGGGATTTGGGCTTGCTTTTGAAGAAGTTAAGAATATGCCATCCCAAAATATGCTGCTCTGGCACATTGACCATCACTCTGACCTTCATTCTGGCTTTGAAAAGTAGAAGATAAGATTTTCATGTGAGAAATGTCTTTCCTATACCAAAAGAAAAAAGTAAATATACATTCTTTTAAAGTAACATTCTTTTGAAATTTTTGGATTTATTTTATATATTTGAAAAGCAGAGAAAGAGAGAACTCTCCCATTTGGGTGCACTTTCCAAATGCCTACAACAGCTGGGACTGGGCCAGACTGAAGCCAATTACCTGTGACTCAATCTGGATCTCCAGTGTGGGTGGCAGGGACTGAAGAACTTGAGCCATCACTTGTTGCCTCCCAGCGGGTACATAGCAGGAAGCTGGAATCAGGAGCCCCAGCTGGGAATTGATTTCAGGCACCCCAGTATACAATGTGGGCATCCCAAGTGCCATCTTAACTGCTGTGCCAGGAACCTACCCCTGTAAATAACATTCTTTTTATCAAGGATAGGAAGTTGAAATTGAGGGAAATCTTTATAAAATCTTATTGAACGGACCCTCATCTTCCTAGTCACTTCTCTCCCCATTGAACTAACCTGGCCCAGGCCCCTTTACCTTGTCACACTTCACAGTTCACTCTTCTCTGTCCAACTATATATATAAAAAGCCAACTCTGATGCTTCTTTGGATCTTCATTCCCTTATGAGGGCCATCACATGTTGTGAGTACAGCAGGATTTGTCTCCCCAAAACTCATGCAGCTGATAAAATTCTGATTCTTAATGTCAGTGGTTGATGGGTTAATGATGGAAACTTGATCCAATGACGGTACCTGAGAGGTGGGGCCCATGGGAGGTCTTTGGGTTGCTGGAGGCGTGCCCCTGGAGAGCAGTTCTCTAGAGAGGATTGATTATTTGAGTCTAGGTTCTCTCTCTTTCCTGATCGTGCTTCTGCACCCACCATGAGCAGCCCTCATCAGACGTTAGACCACGGGGCTACGCCATCCTGGAACCTCCAACTGTGAGCTGAAATAAAACTTATCTTCTCCAAAGAAGCTCCTCTCAGTGATTTTAGTTAAAGTAACAGAAAATTGGCTAATAGACCATTCACACACAACTTATATTAAGTAGTTTTGTAGGCTTTTCTCCTGTTAATCTGTCTTATGTCAATTTAATTTTTAGTCCCTAGCTGTAAAAGGGAAGAGGTAAATTTGCCTCCCTAACATTTTCTGTGATCTTCCCCTGTCTCTCTCAAGGTCTCAGTATTGAACACTCAAGGAGTCTGTGTGCCCGCCTTTCTTCTTTGCTCCTTTGGGAGGGGTCCCAGAAGTTCCTTCCTGCCTAAAGTTGCTGTGACTTGAATGAAGTGGACCCTGCTTCCCTGGCCACAGCAGACCAATAAAGGACAATAACAGATGCCAAAGCCAATACATATATTATTGTGAATGAGACCCTCCTGTGGCTCCCTAAAAACCTCACCTCATTTACTGCCATTGGCAATGCTATGAGACAGGTATTCTTAAGTCCCACTTTGTGTCTAGTAAGTGGTGGACCTGAGATGTGAACTCGAACCTGTTTGAATTCCAAACTTCTCTGGAAGAAGTGAAATAAACAGAGTAAAGCGCTGTATGGGGGAAACATGCACAGTAATAAGATAGCTACTGTTTCAGGCATTGCACCTGGTACTTTTCACTGACCATCTCATTGCATTCTTATATTATTATTGGTCTGCAATGAACATCCTCGTTATTCTTCCATTCAAAAGATGAGGAAACTGAAGTTCAGGATCTTACCCAAGATCTCAGTTTATAAATAAGTGGGCAAACCAGGCCCAGACCCAGGTCTGTATAACACCAAAATCTGTGCTTTCAATCCCTGTACTATATGACATCTCATGAAGTCACTTGTGTGAAAAGCCCTTTATAATCTAAAGAGGTTGCAGCTCTTTTACAGTTTGTAACTTCTACTTTGTGTATAAGGTGAATAATGTCTGTCTTCCCAACCAAAGTGGTAAGTTCCATATCTATTTTGTCCAATGTGTCCCAGTATCGATTTCAGAGTAAATCACCAAAGATCTTGTTAAATGATTAAATCAATGAAGAATCATGCCTTTTGTCTAAGCCATAAGATTATAAAGGGATTGATACATCAATTTATCTATTTGACAAATATTAATTGGGCCTAACAAACATGTAGAAACAGTTGTGCAACTTCAGCCTTGAACTCTATGGGACAAGTCAGAACTTCTCACTACTGATGGTGTTTCTGGTTAAACAATTTTGATGCAAACCAAATTTGGCATAATTTAGAGTGTCTCAAAATAAGGAACCCCTCTTGTAAGGAAAATAATGCCATGTGATTAATAAAGTCCCACTTCAATGTCTCATATGTTGGCCTCTTACCATCATAACATCTTAATATCATAAAAGACTGAGGCCCAAATGACCCTTGGTGATCACTTAATCTAACTTCCTGGCGTTACAGATAGGGAGATTAAAGCCCAGAGAAGGAAGCGATTTGCTCAAGGACACATGATTCTCAATGGCAGATAAGACTCCAGAACTAAGTTCTTCTGCACTGTGTCTCTAGACTCATTTATCTCTTCATTCAATAAACATTTGAGCATTCACTTTGTGCCAGGCATCAGACACACAGACATGAATCTGACGAGGTTCCTTTAGGGACTTAAGAGCCTCAGGGAGTCTATAATCCGGTGGAAGAGACAGAGAGATAAACAGCTGAAAACTAGTAAAACAACAGCATCGAGAGGATAGTAGTGATACAAGGAAGGACAAGGCAATGAAATTCAAAACGGCAATGACAGCACGCAGCATCAGGCAGTGTTGAGAGAAGGCGTACCTGAAGGAATAAGATTTGAAAATGCACAAAGGTGAGGAGCAGGTGTTCCAAACAGAGTGATTTGCACGTGCAAAGGCCCAGAGGCCTGAGACAGCATGGTGTTTCAGGGAAACTCTAAGTAGTACTGCACAGTTTTGCAGGAGAGAGAAGAGGGGACTACGACAAGGGCCTGATCACCAAGAGCTCA